TTTATATAATAATATATTATATATATTTATGTTTAAGTTTAAATCATAACACCTCATGTGGTAATGTGGTTATGTTCTTTCTTTTTCATATATTTGGTTTAAGTTTGAATCCAACATTTTACATCTTTTTTTTCAATTTAATTTTAACGAGCCAATTTCGTGCAGAACACGAACACAAATATTTAAATCGAGCCGAACACGAACATACTGTTCACGAGCCGATTTCGAACACGATCCGATTTCGAACAATAATTTTGAACGAGCCGAACACGAGTCATGCGTGAGCTCGCTCAAACTCTACTTTTTTACAGCCCTGCCTGCAACCAGAGATTAGGTTTAAAAAATTCATTATTAAAAAAAAAAAAAGAAATTCGCTCCTATTATTTAAAAAAGCAGGAAGATAGCTGACAGGTTTGAAATTTTCTATGCGACGCGAATAAAAATCTCAGTGTGGAAAGGAAGACATAGCCAGGGAAGAGATGGGGGCTTCTCATTCGTCCCCGAACGCCAACTCGATCCATGAATTCACTGTCAAGGTGAGCGATCCCTTTCTCTTTTCTGTTTTATTCGATAATTTTGATTCAGAATTCCAGATCACCTGTTAAATTTCTCCTTCTTTTTATGGGTTTTAGGATAGCTCTGGGAAGGCCGTGGATCTAGGGTTCTACAAGGGCAAGGTCTTGCTTGTCGTCAATGTCGCCTCTAAATGGTTCTTGCTTTCTTTCTTCTTCTCCGCCTTTCTGTCTTCCTTTTATTTTAGATGGCTTCATTCATTTCCCTTTTGTGCTATGGAACAGTGGCTTAACGGATAGCAATTATACCCAGCTGACCGATCTCTACAACAAGTACAGGAACAGAGGTTTTTCGTTTTTCTTCGCCTTCCTTCTTGCTATTATATGATATTACTTTTGTAAAGAGAGGTTGCTTTTAATGTTCATGGCGTTTATGGGATTGAATGGAGGAATCTCATTGTGGTTCGGTGATAGATAGGAAGGAATTTAAGTCCCATTTTGCTGATTCTGCTTTTTTAGTCTCTTGTATGAAAGGAAACATAAGACATGCACCTTTCCTGAAATTTGTGATGATTATCGCTGTGCTTGTTTGATTATTTTGAACTAATGGGGGATTTCACTGTTTTTATGTTACTATCAATCTATTTTGTTTGTGTTGAGTGTATTTCACTGTTTTTAAATTACTATCAATCTATTTTGTTTGTGTTTAGTGATATGATTTCAGTTAAACGATACTAAATTACTCTGTCATAGCATCCAGAAGATAGCAGTAGTTGGCCACCTTTTAGAGACGTTTGATGTTTGCCATTACGGTTCTTGGTGGGAAACTTTTCAATGCATGTGAAGTTCAGTTATTTTTTGTAATTTTACATTCATTATGTTGTGTGGTATGTTGTATCTTTAGTCTGGCATTGCATTCAACAACCTAGTTTCTAAAGCATCCTGAAGTAGGGGTCAGTATTCTGTTGTTTGGATGGATTGATTTTCAAATTGGTCACACTGATTGCAACCAAAATATGTAATCTGATGAGCCAATCAAAATTTTGATAAGCCAAACACTTTTGGGTTCGGCTATGAAAAAACAAAATTTAGTTGTTAGTTGGAGCTTGGTTATAAACAAACACCAAGAATTACATATACTTCATAAATCCTCCATTTAATCTTGACATTTCAATTTTTTGGTTTGTTCAATTAAATAAAAATTAATACCCAACTAATAACCAAAAATTAAATATTGAGGTTTTAAAAATTATATACCGAAATGTATTTTGAAACCCAACCAAACCAACCAAATTGAATCGTTTCAATTTGGTTTTTCAGTTTTGACCAATTAACGCACACGCTTATCTTGAGCATAATATGACAATGGAATATTTATATGAAATTGGTGTCCACTATTATCGTGCTTGGTTGAAATTTATCAGTTTTTTTTCTTTATGTCCTGCTGTGTTTTTTCATTAGTCAAACATTGCATTCAGCAAGCTAGTTTGTTGGAGCATCTTACCTCATTTTCTGAATTTTTTTCCTGAAGAAAATAAGGTTGTGCTTCACATGTGACAAATTGAGCCCAAAAAAGTATGTCTTTCAATTTAGGTATTGCAGATAGCTTACTTTCTTGCTTTTCTTTAACAACGTGTGGACTACTCTATTTTTATCATTTATTGTTATTTGCACGTGTTAGTGTTTTACAGCTTCAGAATGTAAGATTCTGGAATTGTTTATTAGTGTGTGAGCTTCTTTGTAAGTTTTGATTGTCACTGACATAGTAAAGTGGTTTTCGTACATTAATTTGGTAAGTTCTTCTCCATTTAATTTCCGTTCTCTTTTGGAAGTTTTTCATGTTGAAAATGTGATACTAACATTTTTTACTAGAAATTGAAACTGTATAAATTTTAAATTTCATCACTTGTAGGAGTCCTACTACATTTTTGGTTTGACAAGTTACTCTCCATTAGATTCTATGCTTACAAGTCTAAGATTAAGATAAAAAATGAGAACCTATATCTTGGTTTTAACTTCATTAATCATATATTTTTTTTGTATATATTTGTGAATTGGCAATTGTTGTGAGTTTTAATTGACGCGGGGTGTCTCCAGCTTACGAAGCAGAAGCAGCATGCTCGCGATCCCATGACAGCGTGCATGCTCGACTCAGTCGAAAGACATAGAACGATCCCATGACCGCGTGCATGCCTGACTCATGCGAATGGCCTAGAGTACTGAGCGGACTCGTTTCGATTCCTTTCCAAATTTTAGCAAATTTCCTCATTTTCTTTCATTTATTTTTAGTCCTTTCCTATATGTGTGTTGCATTATGTTTAGATTGGAGTTTTCTTGGTATTTTCAATCAGGATAAGCGTCGATGTCTATGGTTTCCCCTTCTAGAGTTGTATTCGACGGAGAGAGGGTGCTCCAGCTATAACTCATCCTAGGTGGTGATCTCCTTCCAAGGGATAGAGTGATACTCGGCTGTAGCTTGCTCCCGAGGAGTTATTTCTCCTTCCCCAACTCTTCTGCAATCATTCCAGCTATTCCCTTTGATGTTGTAGTCCCCGGAGAGCCCTCCCCTTGTTGTCTCGTAGTCCACAACCCTTTACTTTTGTTGTCCCTCGCTGTCCTAGCCCTCCACTTCACTGCCCCTTACTATACCAACGCTCCACTTCGCAGCTGCTTCCATTCCAAGCCTTCCGCTTTACTACCAACGCAATTTCAGCACCTTTTTTTGTTGTCCCAACAACCCAAAACCCATTTCAGCCTCTTACCATCACTTCCTACCATCTAGCCGATCTCCACTGCCCCAGATCAAGACCTAGTGTGAGTTTGTGTCGTGTTTATTATAATTTATTTTTTAAGTGTGTTTGATTGTAATCCTTTATTTGTTTTCATTAGTAATATTTGCTTTTCCTATTATTTTTAAGGTTAACTCCATTATCATTTAGTATTAGAGCTAGTCTAGCCTTAGTCCTATCCTAGGATTTTTAGCATCCTCGCACCACTGCAGAGAGAAGTGTGAGATGTCAATCAGGTGTTTATCATTGAAGAGATACAACAACAACTCCGTCAAGTGCTACAACGGTTCGATAAGGTTGAGGAAATTAGACCATCCAAAGGGGTCACTTGAACTTCATTCGATTACAGAGATGAAGTGCTCGCCAGTGAATACAGAGATGAAGTGCCTATTAGAGGATACAAATGTTAATTGCTTATTAGAGATTTCAAAAATTAAGAACCTCTACCCTAAAACATTGGCCTAATTTTTTTGTGTGGACTCCTGACCTAGCTCTACGTACCGCAGAGGTTATTCCTGAGTTATTTTCAATAATCCTGAAATAACTCAGAAATAAGAGTTATTTCTGGGTTATTTCAGGATTATTGAAAATAACCCAGAAATAAACCTGAAAATAACTCAGGAATAACTTCCGCGACATGTAGAGCTACGTCAGGAGTCCGGACAGAAAATGTGCTCGAAGCATTGACCTGAATTATCGGAGAAGCCATGATTTTGAGATAATGAAGAATTTACCACATTTTGATGGTCACTTAGATCCATAAGAGTTCATCCAGTGGCTTCAGACTGTGGAACTTTTCTTTGAGTATTAGGACGTACCACTTGACAAAATGGTGAAACTAGCCGCAAATTACTTAAAGAAGAGTGCATTATTTTTGTGACAAAATTTGAAGCATTTATCCCAACCTAATGGAAAAGATAAGATCACTACTTGGCTCAAGATGAAATGGGCGATGCAGCTCAATTACCTACCAGTTCACTCTAGACCAGATGTTTACATCCCAGCTTCAAAAGTGAAAAGGCAACATTATTAGATGACCGCCACCCCCTACAGGATCGAGCCGCAAGAGTGCACCAAGGGGAACATCTAAGCCAGCGCTTAAGGAGTAACTGATTCAAAGTAGAGAATAGGTGGAGTGACTGAAATAACTAAATCTGTCCCGACCAAAAATTGTTTCAAGTGCCACGGATTTGGGCATATTGAATCAGATTACACAACCAGGAGAATAATCTACTTTACTGTGCAGGGTGATGTTCAAAAAATGGGCAATGACACAATAGACACTGAAGAAAGTGATGACATAGAAGGTGAGTATCAGGTGTCGGCCAACGAGGAAAAAACACTATCAATTCCAGTTGAACATAGAAGAGAGATTGCAGCGGAGTTAACAATAACTATTTTAGAAGGTAGCGACTCTAAGATAATTAGCGTCTATGCATAGTATGAGATTGTGGCGTATCGAACTATCATCTTGCAGACATTGGGGGGAGCATCAATTTAACTGATATTGGATGTCCAAAAGGTTCATGAGTTTGAGGAGTTGATATTAGACACACAACAACCTTAGATAAGAGGATTTTAAAATTTTTAGATACATAACTAACCTTCTGAGTTTCCCCTACTGAAGGAGATCCAACATGCTAGTGATGAGACTCTTTTATGCCACTTGTGGAAGCTATGTAGAGTCATTTGAGTATTAAAATTAGTTTAGTAGTGTAGCCACCGACATATGATTACACTGGATGGATGAACCACAATGCTAGAAACCGCTTTAGGATTTTTGAGAGAAAGAACATCTTACAGTGGGATCGAGGTTCTTTTATAGAAGAAGAAGAAGAGATTTCTTCTGAGCTGTTTTACTTTAGTGTGGTCCAAAGGAATGTTACAGATGTAAGGGCTTGAGAGTTATCTTGTAGGAATCTACAACTTTATGCAGCTTCAGCCCAAATTGTGCCAAAAGTGGATGAATACTTATTCTATTAGGATGTGCTTTGAAATGAAAACACATGTATGAGTAACTTACCGGGAATTTACAATATCTCTATCACCTTCAGCGTGACCGACCTAACACCATATCATAAGAAGTCAAAAGCTTTGACAGGTGAGTTTGAAGCTCTCCCAACCTCGAGAGACTGATGCGGGGCATTTTCCGCTTATGAAGCGCACACGAGATTGCGCGATCTTGTAACTATGCGCGTGCCCGGCTCATGCAGGCGATCCAAAGCCCAACCGAACGACCCTGTTTGAATTGATTTTCAATTTTTAGCAAGTTTTCTCCATTCCTATCATTCCTTTCTAGTTTTTTTCTGTATATATGTTTCATTAGAGTTAGATTAGAGTTTTCTTGGTGTTTTCTATCATGACAGCCGCCGGTGTCTAGGGATTCCTTTTCTAGGGTTGTATCCAAAATCATGAAGGTGTTCCAACTGTAGCTTGTCCCAGATGGCAATCTTCTTCAAAGGGATTGACTGGTACTCCGTCTATAGCTCGCTATCGAGGAGGTATTTATCTTTATCCAACCCCTCCATAGTCATTCCAGACATCCCCCTTACTATTGCAGTCCTTGGACAGCTCTCTCTTTGATGTCCCGCAATCCACAACCATTTCCCTTTGCTGCCCCTCGTTGTCTCAGCCCTCCACTTCACTACAACTGCCATTCTAGGCCTTCTGCTTTGCTCTCAACGAAATTCCAGCCCCTCTTTTTGTTGTCAACAACCCACAATCCATTTGAGCCTCCTACCACCACTCTCGACCACCTAGCCAATCTCTACCACCCCCGAATCGAGCCCTAGTGTGAGTTTATGTCGCGTTTGTGATAATTTCTCTTTCAAGTGTGTTTGATTGTATCTTTTTGCTTTAGTTATGGATGGTCTTACTGAACACTTACAAGAGAGAGGATGTACCCAAGAGGATGTACCTTGGTGTATGCTTTTTGCTGATGATATCATTTTTCGTGGATAAGACGAGAGAAAAAAACTCAAGAAAAACTTAAATTATGGAGCTCTACCTTGGAGTCTAAAGGCCTTCGTTTGAGTAGAACTAAAATTGAATACATGAAATGTAATTTTAGTAATAGTAGCTCTAGTGACAGAACTGTAACTATGGGTGATCAAATTATTAAAAGGTGTGAACACTTTAGATGTCTCTGGTTTATTGTTCGAAGTGATGGTGATATTGATGGTTAGCAGAATTCAAGTTGGTTGGTTGAAGTGGAGGAATGCTTCGGACCTATGGTGTGATAGAAAAGTACCGCTTAGACTGCAAGGAAAATTTTATAAGATGGTGGTGAGAATTGCAATGTTCTATGGCGTTGATTGTTGGCCTCTAAACGAGAAACATAAAACTAAGTTAAGTGTTACCGAGATGAGAATGATTAGGTGGATGAGTGGCTTTACACTTAGAGACAAAATGTGATATGAATATATCCATGATTGGGTTGGTGTAGCTCCAGTGACGGACAAAATTAGAGAGAGTCGTTTAGATGGTTTGGTCACATTAAACGTCAATCATCTGACGATCCAATTAAAAGATTAGATGTTTTAGATTCGACTTATGTTAAGAAAGTCAAGGTAGACCTAGGATGACTTGGGCATATTGTATAAAAAATGATCTTAATTTATTAGAAATAAATGAAAATATGATACTAAATAGGATTCATTTTGCCGACCCCACTTAGTGGGATAAAGATTTTGTTGTTGTTGTTGTTGTTGTTGTTGTTGTTGTTGATTGTTGTATTGTGCTTTGGGTTAACTCCGGTATCATTAATGTTGTGAAATTAAATCAGTTAAATCTTTAGTGTAGTAGATCTAGTTGATGGTAAAATAGTGTTCAATGAGAGCTGATCTCTTCTATTTGTTGTCCTGTTTTAGATTTTGAGGTTTTAGCCTTTCCTTGTAATCAATTTTTGAAACAAGAACCTGGAACAAGCCAGGAGGCAATGGAGTTTGCATGTACAAGGTACAAGGCGGAGTATCCAATATTCCAAAAGGTAAGCTAATCACATCAAAACTGTTGTTAATTTTAATCAACAAAATTTTGTTCCTTATTTTTTGAAGAATGTTTCATTTGATGTTCAATTTACAGAGTTGCAAAGGACTGAATCTTCTTTCATTTTCTCTACTTTATTTTGCTGGAGTATGTTTAACCTTGTTGTTCATTCTCAATACTTTCTTGCTTATTTGACTTCTTTTCACCGTGAATTTTGTTATTGTATGCATATACCCTCGACCATCCTATTTGAAGATAATATCATAATTACAATGATATTTTGAGATAAATATATATATTTTTTAATTTGTGGTAAACCTTAATATATGGTGCAATATTTTGGACTTGTCAAAGATATCTCATCAGAAAGCACAACTACGATTATGTCTTCAACCACTATGCATTCTGTGACTCTTTTTTTCCAACCCTAATGCAAGGCAAAGTAGGGCTTGTTATGATAATGGATGAAAAGGGCTAAATTTAAATTTTCAAAAGAAATTCAATTAAAATTTTCAAAGATGGGGAAAAACAAATTTAAAAAGATTTACTTGGAAGATTGAAAGGAATACAATGAAGGACTTCAGGGTTTTAGCTAGATTTGATAAAGTGTCTACAAGCTAAACTAGACAAACCAAAAGATAAAAAATAAAAAATAGGAAATAAAAGAGAAATTAATGCTTATTTATGTTGACTTAAGCTAACCTGTGAGAAATTAGATTTAGATGAAATTCTAGAAAAGAGGTTTGAAGAAGAAGAGTATATGTAAATGAGAATGGCATCGAAATATGATGAATGATGATCTTGGTACTCCACAAGTAACTCTGGGAATTGTTATAATTTTTGAGTTATCAACCACTAGTTTTAAGGAGGTGAGAGGCCTTTCCATCAAGCTAGGCATCAATGAATTCCACCTTTAGTAATGAAAATAATTTGGTCATCAAGAACTTGTTCTAGGATATGAGAATGTAGTCAACAAGTTCATAGCAACTCCAATGTAGAAATAAATATAGAGGTAGTCACCAGTATCTTGGGAGATGATTTTGGTGGTCACGAAACTTGCAGAGGAGAGAGAGGTAATATCTCTCGATATGGAGTCAAATCGGCTACTTTGAACATTGATGAAATACCATTAGTCAAATGCAGATCTAACTCATAAATATTGTTACTTATTACCCGTACACTATTGTATTGCTTAAATTTTGATGCTGATAACTTCCTAAGAGTTCTCATAAAAATCTCTTTGGTAAAAAATCTTTATGTGAATCTAGATCAAATCTATATTTTAGGAAGTTATTGCCATATTGGTTTAAATTTCTTTGTAATGATTTTCATTCTTTGGACAAATGATCATATAAATTCATTGTATTTATATGACGTAGATAAATATACTACATGCATAGGCTGTATGTGGAAAGTTGCAAATGTTATATTTAAATTCAACAAAGAGCAAAACCATTTATCTACTAATTGTTTGTTCTATCACAAGGCACTTTAGAAGGTCACTTAAGTTTCTATTGAAAACTTCAATTTGATCATTTGTCTGAGGATGATAGTCAATAAATAAGAGGAATTTTGTGTCTAATTTTTTTCATAAATTTCAAAAATAATTCATGAACCAAATAATTAAGTCAAAAACTATATTCTTAGCATACTTTGTAATATCGCTTCACTAAAAAAATAGTTAAGCAATAAGAAATGCATATGATTTTTTATAATAAAGGATAAAATGTGTAATTTTAGAAATGATCTATTACTACAAATTTGCCTAGACACCATATGGGGCTACTTGAAACAAAAGTTCGTGTTCAAAGGTTTATGTGGGTTGTGTAGGATAGGAAGAGAAGTACATAAATTAAAAATAGACTTTCTACCCTTCACTGACAAAAGCAACATTGGCAATGACACATGCTACTTCTTGCTTGAGACTCGGACAAAAGAAAGGATTTTCAACCATAAAAATGGTCTTATCTCTAAGTCTAACTCCTTAATGAGAAAGGCATGGTGAATACCTAAAGGATATATCCTATGCATATCTAATAATCTAGAAGGATAATAAATTCTTGGTGAGATAGGAATGTACAAATTTGACTAAAATCTTGACAAATGAGGCATTGGAGATTATTTCTCGGACAAACAGAAAGTGGATGGGAATTGCTGGGATAAAAGGGGACACTTACAGTGAGCACAAGATTCCATCGATGATTATATGGTTTTCTATGAAGAGATAATGATGTTATCTAATTTCAATTCCATCAGAAGTTGAGGTGCTGTGTTTGGATTTTGGACTCAGTTGGAGGATGACTCACTTGGACAAATGCAAGCACGAGTAGAGGCTTGGCATATTTAAGCGATCAATGGTGGGTTGCGAGCACAAGGATGACATTGAAGTGGATCTTGGAAGGCGATAATATCATATTTGAATGAGAAAGTTAATAAGAATTAAATCTTC